GGCGAGGGGGGCGTGGTTCAGCGAGGTCTGCAGCGGGAGAGAGAGTTGGGAGACGAGCGGTGAGTAAGTGGGTCAAATGCAAATGACGAACACCTGTGTCTGGTTCCAGTAATTGGCGTGGAGAGACCGCATAAAGAGGCCCAGGAAAGAGCTGTGAGGGAGAGAGAGACTGACTGCTGACTGGGGAGAGACTGTGCCTGCTCTGGAGAGCCCTGCGATCGTGATTGTGCCTGTGCAATTGTGCTATATTGAGCGCTGGTAGCGCGACGTTCTGTTTTACTTTGTTTGAAGCCGAATAAAACCCCCAGCAGCAGTCAAGCCGACCCCGTCCTCTTCCTTCTCGATCATTGACTTTGTTACACCGAGCGTCTGTGGAAATCTACTCGACTACTACTACTACTTCACTATCAGTATTTAAAATAACTTTTAATTTATTTTAACAAGGTAAAGGATGCCAGAATTAAGTATTTCTCTAATTTAATATCTAGCAGCAGACATAATCCCAAAATTTAGTTTGACACTATACATAACATTGTCTCTCCTCCATCACCAGCGGTTCAAATCTCTTCAGTTGATGAGTGCAACAGTTTACTCCTTTTTTTCGTGGATAAGATAAACAATATATGAAATAATATTACTCTCTGTCCTTCACTTCAAATACCTTGTGTCTCCAGGCAAGTAATCCTGGAGAATTTTTCCCTGATAACAACTGATGATCTCACTAAGGTTAGTTCTATGAAAAGTTAGTCCTCTGGATGTGGTACCCACTGCCTTGTTTAAAAACGTTATTGACACGATTGGTCCCTGTGTGTTATCTATAGTGTTATCTATAATTAATAATTCATTAACATCTGGTCAAGTTCCAGTTTACTTTAAACAAGCTGTGGTTCAACCTATTCTAAAGAAAACAAATCTTGATCCATCTTTACCCCAAAATTATAGACCTATTTCTAAGTTACCTTCTGTGGCTAAGGTCCTGGAAAAAGTTGTTGTAAATCAGCTCTCAGCAGTTTTAGATGGTTATAATGTGTTTGATAAATTCCAATCTGGCTTTCGTTGTAAGCAGCACTCAACTGAAACTGCTCTTCTTAATGTTTTAAACGATTTGTTGCAAGGTGATGCAGGAGAATGCTCTGTACTGGTTTTATTGGATCTCACTGCTGCTTTTGATACAGTTGATCACTGTATATTAGTTGAGCGGCTTAGACAGCAGGTTGGTATCTCTGGAACAGCCTTGAGTTGGTTTTCATCATACATATCAGACAGGTCTTTTTCAGTAAGAGTTCAAAATTATACCTCATCAACAG